CTGAAAAAGAGAAACCCGAGACAAGAGACCAGTCTTGTAGTGCAGTTATTGCATTCTGCAGGTAATTTATAGTTCTATTTGTATTGATGCCTCTGCAGAATATGTTGAAGTCATCGGCAAATAGTGTGCACATAACCGGGGGTTGTATAACTAGTGGTATATCATTAATCGCTAATAAGAATAGCGATACCGATAGTGTGGATCCTTGTGGTACGCCGTTTTTTTGAGAATATATTTTCGATAGTTTTCCGTTGCACTTCACCTGGAAGGTTCTGTCGGTAAGGAAGTTCTGTATAAAGTTGAATAAATTACCTTTACAGATAATGTTTGACAATATTTTAACAATACGGAGGCGCCAGGTAGTATCATACGCTTTTGATATGTCAAGAGCTATGAGGCCCATCATTTGTTTAGCTTCGAGTGTTGAATGTATTTCCTCTTGAATGTCATGTAATGAGTTTGTGGTACTTCTATGTCTTCGGAAGCCGTTCTGGCGAGGATCCAAGAAATTGTTTTTTTCAAGAAACCATCTAAGTCTATAATCTATAATTTTTTCCAATATCTTTGCCAAGGTATTTAAGAGGGATATTGGTCTGTATGATTTAGTATCAAATTTGTTTTTTTCCGGTTTAAGAATTGGAATAATTATAGAGTGCTTCCAATTTCGAGGTATATGACCAGATGACCATATTTTGTTGTATACTCGAATAATTGCATTTAAGGCGGTCATGGGGAGGTTGTGGATAAATTTATAAGGTATCCCGTCTGGTCCTGGGGCAAGACTATTACATTTGGATAGAACTCTGAACATATCAATCAACTGAATTGGGGAGTTGAGTTTTTTCTGTTCATCAAGGTGTGGGTTGATGCTAGAAATTAAATTCTGGTTCCTCATGTGTACGTTTTTTTTAAAGAAAGTCGTATTGTAGTTTTCATCCGAACTGTTATGGTAGAAAAAATCTCCTAATAGATTGGATATTTCGTCGGGATCGGTGCATAATTTTGTGTCTTTCATGATGTGAATGTTGTGGTTCTTGGAGAAGCCTCGAAGTGACCCAACTCTGCGCCATATCAGAGCGGAGTCAGCTTTGGGTCCCAAACAGGACGTGAAGGTTTTCCAAGAGTCAGTCTTACTTCTTTTAACTAGGTATCGCGTTTTCGCTCTCAGTTGTTTAAGTTTTATGAGATCAGACATGTTTTTTGAGCTTTGAAAGGTTTTGAGTGCTTTGTTTTTTTGTTTGATTGACTCTTTTATTTGGTCATTCCACCAAGGGACTAGATTTCTTTTTAAAGAGTTAGTTGTTTTTCCTATAGCAACTTCTGCAGCTCTGATAATGGACTCTGAGATGAAGGCGGTATCGTCCTCTATTGTGCTGGTATCGGATTGGGGGTTTACTTGCATAAAGGAGTCAACTAATGTATTAAAAAAAAAAAACAGTCCGGGTTTTTTTAGCTTCCATCTGTATGAGAGGGAGGGTGTTAGTGTTTTTGTGGAAAGGAGTGTCATTAGAATAGGTAAGTGGTCACTGTCATATATTTCGTGTATAATAGACCAAGATATTTTTTGAGCTAGCGATACACTTGAGAAGGATAGGTCAATATTGGAAAAATGGCCGTTTGACTGATTAAGTCTGGTAGGTTCGCCATTGTTAAGTAGTGTAATCGAGTCGTCATCTAGGATTTTTTCAATTGATTTGCCTCGAGCGTCTGTTCTGTCTGATCCCCAATATTCGCTATGGCTATTGAAGTCGCCTAGTAAAATAAATGGTTTGGGTAGTTGTTTGATGATGTTGTCTATATCAAATGTGTTAAAAGATGTTTGATTAGGGACGTATATGTTACATATTGAAATTTTTGATTCTAGTGTTATCTGAACTGCGATGACTTCTAGATTGGAATAGATAGGAATCTGTTCACAGGGATAGTCAATGTGTATTAGAGAGGCGACGCCTCCGCTAGCCCGAATACAGTTTTGTCGGTTGGTGTAGAATATATTGTAGTTTTTGATATTGGGTATGAGATTGTTTTTAAGATTTGTTTCTTGAAGGCTAATACACATGGGTGAATATTTTTGTATTATTAATTGTAGATCCGGTCGTTTTTTAGTGAGACTATTTATATTCCATTGTATTATATTCAGGTTCTTCATATTAGGATACTTTATTTAAAATGCAATGTATACAATGAATGAGAATTATTATTGTTGTGTTGTGGTGAGTTAGTTGAAGTCGGAAAGGGGGGTCAATTCGAGCAGTAAATTGGCTAGACTTGAGAGTCTGTTCTTGATGCAGATGCTTTTGATTTTGGGACGGACTGCCTCCAAGATCTCGATCATTTCCATGGATGATATATTGAATGGTGTTAAAACACTGGAGGGATCTTGTCCAGTGAGTGTGTTTTCAATAATATGTTTTAGTTGGTTAAAGTCAATTTTTAGGTTTGGTATTTTCTCAAAAGCAGTTTTTGCTGGTAATAATGCTTCATCCAGTTTGAGTATTATTTGTTCAATTGAATTTGAGCGCCTTGGTTTTTTGTGCTGAGGTTGGGGGGTTTTGACAGATTCTTTTAATTTGGTTGCGAGTGAACCGGTGTTTTTCCGTATATTTGTAGTTTCTATTGGTGGTGGTGTGGGGTTATTTGGTGTTGGGATAGAGGTGTTCTCATGACAGCTACTATTCGAGGTTGATGGTGCAGGCCTTTTTTCTTGAGTGGTAGCTTTTTGTGTGGTGTGGGTGATGGTATTTGTTTCCTTGGTATTATTTTCGACGCTTATATCTGTGTCATTGGTGTCGTCAACGGTATCTTGTATTATCTGTTCATTGTGGTCCATGTCGTTACTAACCGTATTGGCGTTTGTGTTATTGAGGTGTACTGATTCGGCTTTATTTTCTATTGTATTTTTGCAGTGGTTGGAAGTGTGTCCTGTTTGTTTGCACGAATAACAGGTCACTGTATCGTCGGAGAGGAATATGCGGTATTCAGTTTGGTCAAATTGTAACAGAATGGAACCCGGAATTTTGTCACTATGCTCAGGGTGTATATACATTTGACGCCTGAAGCTTCCTATATGACCGAACTCATCATTAGAGAATCCGGCCTTCATAAATGTAATCGGCGACACCATGATAATTGAGAGATTGTTAATTGCCTTTGCGATTATGTCGTGTGGTATAACCGGTTGTACGTTAGATATGATTATGCGTTTGGCTGGGTTAATGAGACGGCGATAAGATATTTCCGTGTTGTTTATTATGATATATGGTTGTTTTGAAATGATTTGTTCAACAATATTTTTGCTTGCAAAGTATATGCAGAACCTATTGTTTGAAATGCGTGATGCGAATTTTATATTATTTGGGTGTGTTAGTTGGCTGAATGCTTTAATGTATTCGATTTGTGGAACATCTTGAATTGTATTGAAGATTATTGCTTGATCTCTTTTTGGAAAATGTGTGTTTGCTGTGGTTTCAGCAAAGGTTTTTTGTGTATTTGGTTGTTGTGTGTAGGATGTAGTGTGGGGTGGGTTGTCTGTAGTGTCGACCATCGTGATAAACGACGATCCAACGAGAATGATATTACCTACTATGTATGAGGGGGGCCGTAATTATACAACATACCTCGTTAATTGTGGTGAAGTTCTGGTTACTGCTATCGAGAGCTAATAAATGCGATACGCGACAGACGGTAACACACGTGTGTATCGGTCGGCTGTAACACACGTACTGATTTTCTATATTGTTTCTCTATGTAACGTAATGTAAATTATAATATGAAAAATGCTCTCTCGTGGTCAATAATTTAACTATATTTTATTGCGTTCTTGAACTGAAATCTTCATAAGATGGTCTATAATAAGATAGTGTGCATAACTCGGATTTGTTATATTATCTCAAGTTGTTGCAGTTTTGAACTGGGGCGTCAAGCTGATCCGGTCTAAGACATTTTGGCGCTACCGTTTTGATGCTGGCTCGGTTTGGGCGCTGCTGTTTTGTCACCAACCAATATTAATAATGAATAATAACCAATAACTTTTTTTGTTCATCAGAACTTAATTTATCAAAAATAAACATAAAACCGTCATCTTCTAGCATTTCTCGATCACGTTTCGTCTCCATTTTCTTAATATATTTTCTTAATTGTATAGTAACACTGTATACAAACTTTGTGAGCAGTTCACTGAAGAAAATGTGTTTGTCAACTGAAGACAATAATTACAATTTACAACAATCCATCAGGTCAATAGAAAGGTATTTTTAAATTATCTTTATAATGACACCGAAAACCGAAGTATCGGGTGAACCACATAATTTTTTTATTGTTATACTTTATCGTCACTATAGATAACGCTCGACATTTCTTGTCGATTGAAGATTGACGATTGTTATACTTAATCATCAAGATAAATAACGCTCTTTCTTTCTTGTCGATTGACGTGTTTTTGTCTTTTATTATATAATATATAAAATACAAATTATTATTATTTTATATTTATATTAATTATTAATTAATTTATTTCTATTGGTTATTACTTATTAATATTGTTTGGAGCCAAAACGGCGGGGGCAAACTGGTCAAGCGCCAAAACGACCCAATATTTTGAGTTGTTGCAGTTTTGAACTGGGGCGTCGAGCTAATGGCGGAACTGTAAAACATTTTCTGCATTTGGGAATTATTAAATACCTTGATTTAAGTAACCATTCAAAACCCAAAAGCATATAAAAATTAAATTAAATTATACAAAAATAACTTCTCTGGGAAATACACCAACCCCCACAGGTACACCTCTATACTACTACCTGCATTCTTTAAAGTTATAGTTTAAAACAACTATATGTGACGCAGTACCTGTAATGTGGACCAGTGAATATATTATTTTGTCACCCATAGACGACTGTATTTTTAAAAACCCGACGACACCCGTTGTTATTTAAAAGAAACGTTTTAAAATTATATTATAAAAAAATAAATGCTTTGCCATCACAATAAGGGTGATGATAAAAATGCACATACTGTCATTATACTATCGATATTGTTTTAGTTTCGGCGATTTTTCGATCTTGACGTTATGTACTCATTGTTTAGTGATAGCTGAATTATTACAACTCGCACAGGAAAAACAGATTGTGAATATAATATATATATTAAAGTCAATTCAACCAGAACATAATTTATTACTAAAAACACTTATAACTGAACATCATGAGTTGTATTTAAAATTGTTTCGTACCAACTTAAAACCAAAGTATCACCACTTATTACATTATCCATTAATAATGAGTAAAGTTGGGCCTGTATCTCACTTATGGTCGATGAGATACGAGTCTAAACATAGAGAGTCAAAGCTAACGGCCCATTCTATTACCAGTCGGAAAAATATATGCTATACACTGAGTATTAAACACCAACTAAGACTTGCACATCGATTATTATCTAAATCGAATACACTATCTTTATCTTTAGAATCATCAAACGTAGGAAAAGTAATAGATATGTCTATAAATGAGATAGAAAAAATACAAAATAATTTATTAAATCAGACTACAAATTTAAATTCTGTTAGTTTTGTTTCGTGGGTTCAGGTGAAAGGCACTCGTTACACAACCAAGCAGAGAATGATTATTATAATTGATGTTGAAGATATGCCTATATTTGTCATTATAAAATATATTTTCTTTAAACTCCAATGTGACATACCATTTTTAATTGGTCAACGTATAAGTACAATAGGGTTTAATGAACATTTACAAGCATATAAAATAAAAAATTGTGATGATCTATTATGTATTTCATTTGATGATCTACTTGTAGAACAAAGTCCTTGTGTTTGTAGCACAATGTCTGATGGTTGTACATATGTATCTTGTAATTTTTAAAAAGTAACTATATATTTTATACCATAAAATAATAATGTATTTTTATTTGTTAAATATTTTTTTTTTCATATTAAAATGTATAAATAATAATATTGTAGGTATTACCTATTTAAGGGTATATTTTAAATTGTTTATTTATATTAAAATGTATCAAAGATAATTTATTCATTATATTTTGTTCTTAATTATTTATTCATATATTATATTATTAAAAATGTATATAATATATGATATAAATTCCCCCTCCTATATCCTAGTGATTATACAACCATTTTATTGTGGTTACTACAAACGATGAGAATTGTTACCATAACCTTACAATATTGTTGGAAATACTATTTATTGCTTTATAATTACAAAACAATTTAGGTTGGGATAACCGTAGTGTATGGTTAATGGAACCATGTAGGCTGGTAGAATTTCTAACCAAATTGTTTGGTTACATCAACTGAATTATGACAACCAAATGGGTTTGGTACTTGGAACTATGATAAATGGTAGTCCCTATACCTACCACTGAATTTGGTTAGGATAACCATTTAATTGGTATCTACAACCATACATTTTTTTCCGTGTAGGTACAGCTGACTGCACTTGAACCTTTCCCGAAGATAATCTACGAATTCTCACGAACGGGGCCTCCAGATTTGCAGTGCAAGTTTAGTCGAGCCTCCTGAAGTTAGTTTCTTCGTGTTACATATTACGTATATACGTAGAGTACATTTAATAATTGGGTTTTAATTGCCCAAATAAATTATTTGAAGAGAAATGCGGTTTGTATAATAGTGTAATGAATGCGAATATTTTTCTATCATTTCATTTTACATTTATACTTGCAGTGTTTACTGTAGTAGTAGTACTAGTTTCCAATCTTCAGATATCGATGAAGCTTTATATTTTCAATAATTTTAATTCCTGGAACATTTTTCCATGTACCTGCTAAAATAATCCGTTTTTATTTTGAAAAAAAAAACACCGATTATAGTAAGTTATTATCTATATAGATTTATAGATATTACTAATTTAGTAATATCGTACTAAGTATATCATCTATCTATTTATTTTATAGTATACGTATCTATATTTTATAGCAACATTTAATTCGAGTTTCCTGATTACATACATTTTTTCCCAATTTGAGTTTTTTTTTTGTCGTCGCAACCATTGTTCTTGATCGTCCACTAATCATTTTATTTTTTTGTAACTTGTTAGAGAAATTTTTTCCCAAATTATTGTACACAAACTAATGGTGATGATTTAAAATTTTATACGATTTTTATTTACAAGTATTCAACATAATACCTATGTATAATAATTAATAATGTAATGACTATAATAAGTAATAACTAATAGCAGTCTGAAATACGCGGTAATTATTATTATTATATTATATTATTAGTATAGATATAATATTTCTTGGGTCCGACAAGGACCGTGTGGTGTGAAGAAAAATATTAAGAGAGATTCTTTTGCGGCGTATGCTATGAATTCAGGGCTATTATATTTTAAACACTTTCAAAACATCTTATATTTAAAACGTTTGTTTTAATTGTTTAGTACATTTATTAAAATATATGTTTAACATTGTGCAAAGTCCATGTAGAATGTAGATATAGTGTTTAAAACACTTTTTTTGTATTTTCTCATGAATGGAAATAATATCCCATCAAAGATTATAATTTAAAATTTGAAATTCGTGGTAGAAACCTAATATTATATTAAACTGGGTGATTTTTTCTTAACATGATTCATCCATTATTTACGAAAAGTCTGAGTAAATTTGATTTTGGTTTTTTCGGGAATCATATAATATTATTCATGGACCGTATTTACATTATTTAAAAAATAATTGTACTCTGTATGTAGATACCATCGCGGCATTCCAACATATTACAGTTTTAGATATTTTGTTTGTATCTTATTGAAAAAAACTAATACATTATTAATATAAGACATATCTTTAGAACGTCTGCACATCTGCATAGTATATTGTGTCTTCGTATTATTTCATACATACAACATAGAAAATCTTCGTTCTGCAGAACCAAATTTGTGTTGTTAGCTTTAATAATATTAGAGTGCATTTATTTTACTTTTTATAAAACCTCAAGTTAAGAAGATTATGAAGGTCTGCGTCTGTCTAGTGATTTTTTACTACGTTTCAATTTTTAAGATTTTAAAATTGTAATTATATTTTGCATACCTACTCACAAGACGTTATAATATTAACATAAAAATTTAAATATCACAAAAAAAAATAAAGCTCAATTTTTCCAAATTGAAAAAAACCCTGTGCCAGCCCCAACAATGCGTTCGTTGTAAGTCATGTGTCTCATAACTGATAGGTAACTCTTAACAATAATAATTATTAGGTAGTTAATGTAGTATAATAATATTAGATAGGTACTGACTTGCGCGCTGTCAACTTTTTCCTAGTGAATTAACGGCGTCTGCGACGTGTGTGACGTGTGTCGTAGGTAAATATGCTAATAATAATAATAATAAATAATAACATTATGCTTGCATTTTCGTGCATATTATACGGGTGTATCGCATAATTTATTATAATACGAACGCATTCCGTACAAACGCTCACGGACACGGGAGGGTAATTTGTCCGCGGCGGCGAGTAGGTAATGACTAATGAACGGTTTGCCGCACACACACTGTTGACTTTCACCTTTGCCCTGACGTCATATTATTATTATTGTTATTATTATTATTATTATGTGTTTCAGTGTTTGCGCGAATGACAACACGACTTGCGACTGGCGGCGGCGGCCGTGTGTTTGCGTCGGGCCTATGCGTACGACGGGGCTCGGACCCGCAGAAAACGACCCGAATTTAAGGTCCGAGCAAACAAATCGCGTCCCGAGCATTGTTTGTTACATTGTTCCGAACAAAATAATATTATTATGCCGTATTGTTATCGTCGAAACAATAATAATATTATTAAATAAAACACGTTTGGAACTTTGTGGCCGCGAGTACATAACATTAGTTTTGTTCGAGGGCCGATTCCGAAATTATAATAAAAATTAAAATACAATATGTTCGTATTATTATTATTTATTTTGGATAAAGCAAAAGCGACGAATCGCGACGTCGACTTGCGGTTCAACGAACACGCGAACATCGATTTCAACACTGGTCGAATACATTGTTTGTTTGCGTGGAAATGACCCTTTGCGAGACGTCCGTTCGTTTTGATTTTTCCTATCGACCGGTCATTTTTTTATTACCGACTTCCGACGACAAACCGAATTTTATTTATGTATTATACAATATACTCGATGTGCATAAAGGTATCATTTTACAAAATGCAAAATACAATAGGCATCAAAAACCACAAGCCCCAAAGACGCACAATCGTTTCAAAAACTATGAAAATATTGTCCTTAATAACATTAAGTGTAAAAACAACTTAAAAGTATAAAACTAGTGACTAGGTACTAGTGAAAATATGCATTTTTTAAACTAGTAAAGTATTAATTTCAGAAATCTCAAGTGAAGAATTTAAAAAAAAATCGATATAGTACATAAAGTATGAATAATAAACAAAAAAAGATTGTTTTAACGAATCAACCGGTTAATAGAACCAAAATGACCTGCACCAATGTGATATTGAAAATGCATATTATAATAATATATTTCTGCATCTTATATCATACTCGATATTGAATGTAATAGGCATTTGGGGTCGATGTTTGAATTATTTTAGAAGTGAAAACAACAGTTATGCTTGTGATTTCCACTACAACAGCTGACGAGGCCAATTCAACTCGACCAGGATTTTCGAAGCGTTAAGCAATATATTATTTTCTATGTCTAATTATTTGATATGCGCACCGTATAATCATAAAGTTTATTTTTCGTGCTGGGGATATACATATTAAATTGTCGAATAAACATTACGCAAGACAATATTATCATTATTTTCCCGGGACGCGAATACGCGATATTACGATTTGTTGACATGGTGTTAAAACTTAAATCGTTTCATTTTATTTACAGATTTCGTACGATGTTGTTTTTACGACAGACGCGACTCTATAAAATAATTACCAATTCGATTGTTAAAAAGTACGACTATATTTATATATATTATGCGTGTAAAGTAAACTCGGTTTTAGGTCACTAGCATAATTTATCCATATATATTACCCACCGCTTTTACGAGATAGTGTAACGTTACGTGTCAAAAAAAAAAACTTCTAATTTAATTACGGTGTGTAAAAAACGTATTTTAATTTTTACCATAGTCATAAAACGCACATGGCACGTACACATATTACACACGTAATGGGTGCTTATAATAATATTATTATTGATTTCTATAGATGGCTTATGAATTAGATTTGAGATCAGAAAATAAATTATAGATATTTATTAATCAACCTGACCAACGACAATCGTGAAACGCTAATATTATAATGATAATAATTACTATGCAGTTTCCTACATCAAACAGACCACTGATATCGTGTTAGTCAACGATTATAATATTTTACAAAAACCATTAAAAATTTAGGTCACTTATTAATTAATAACGAGTGACCGTAATAATTTCTACGGTTATTTTTTTTTGAACTCATCGAGTCATTAACGACATTGCAACTGTTCAACCGTAGTTTTAATATTTTCGAGAATTAAAAGCTGACATTTTAATAATTATTAATATAGATACCTATGCATTCTGAATTTTACAATTTTAAATGTTACCAATGCCGAGTCTTATATTATTGTGTTATATCGTTTTATGAATATATAAATGAAATTATTCTGTCGTCTTATGCGAGTGCGTGTTTCGACTATTAATAGTATAAAAGCCGTTTGAATATTATAATACGAGAAGACTAAAAATGCGGCAGACGAAATTCTGTCATTCTCATTTGCGTACAATGGTTCGTTACGGCCCAGCCTTTTTTTGATGCACACATATTATTATAATTGTTGTGCGTGGATAGGCAGTAAAAATCGGCTCTAAACCGTCTGCAATC